CATTTAACAGTGAGCAGGAGAGGATGCTTACAATCACAAAGTGTGTAATCTCATTGGGATATTTGGATCGTTACTTATAGCACACTTGGTATCACTGTCTCCATACATTACTGCCAGTATAATAGGATTCATTGTTAGATATGATAATGTTCCTAGTCCAGTGTATGCTACAGCATTGGTACTGTATCTTCTTCATACTATTACAATTTCACTGATACAAGCATACTTCAGGCCTGAACTAAGGAAGATATTAATAGGGATTTGGTATGTGATGAGTTTTTGTGGTGGAAAATCAGAGGAACATGATGGAATGAAAAGTAACACAGTGCCTTCACCACATGCATCTACTAACACTAATGAAACAAATGATACTGTTGATATTAATGTATTGTAATCATAGTAAACTTCAGTTGTGAACATGAACAATTATTATTGTTTTAAGTTATAATCATAATAACTTTTAATAAAAAACAATACTTTAAATAACAAAAAATATTTAAAATAGCAAAAAATTAAATTAGTGAAAAATATTAAATTAGCCAAAAAAAATTAAATTAGCTGTTTTGACTTTTTTATTGCCCTTGACAAGTTATAGAATATCATTTTACTTCTCCTTGTCCCTGTTCCTATTTAAAGTATATAATGTGTATAATTTATATCAATCATTAATCTTACTGCAGTACTACTCTTGTCAGGCCTGTACGTACTTTCTTTAGTCTGTATTAAAAAATGGCAGTGTTATAAAAAGTTATAAAAACTATAGTTATTATGCCTTTGCTTTCGCCAGCTTATATTATTACACAATAAATTTACTTACTGGCTCAGCTAACATATCATCATAGTAACTTGTTGAAAACTCTGGTAGTGGCAAGGATTGCTGTAATGAGGATCGTCTTTCTTGCAATGATGAGGTCGACATTAACTATAAATTACAAAGGAGTATTATAATATTGACAACACAACATCTGCTAATTCATGCTACCTATAGACTATGGAAAATACAAATGTACAACACTTCAACAATTAATTTTCATTTCTTAGCAAATTAAGTGCATGATGAAAAACTTAACACCATAGATACATGTACATGATATAATCTTACAGTAGCCCGGTGGGGTTGACTGTATATACTTCTCATAGTTGGCCAGGCTGTGTCCTTTTCTTGACTCTGTTAACATAATAAAGTGTACAGTGTAGTTCTAATGACGTTTCTTACTGGTGTTAATGCTGTCTCTCTTACACTAGTAACTTGGATTTCCTAAAGTGACATTAGTTATATGGCATAGTTAAAATGGCAGTGGTGTAAAAACCACACCTCCTATTGCGTTTACATGTACTTCATACAGATAATTTACTTACTGGCTCATCAGTTAACAGCTCATCATCATGGTAATTTGTTGTCATCTCATGCATTTCTGGCCAGGACCTGGACTATAAAATGA